AATAATAAACTTTAAGATTTCGATAGCTTTAAAAGGACTTGGTTAAATTTTATAAAAATTTAATTTGAATAAACTTATCGAAAATTGAAACATCGGCCGGCGCAGGTCGATGCACAATTATAAATATTTTTTATACCCAATGTTTACTTTCCAAGGAGTATCTGCTTGTTGCAAATTGAGACACGTATTCTGTTTTTATTGACTTCAAGTTTGTGCATTAAATGTTTTTTTATTTATTTATTTTGCTGCTGGCATAATTGAATGCATTTCCATTTACTTGTTTTTCACTCAAAGTTGCTGCTCGTCATAAATCGCCTGCAATATTTCCCCAACCATCTCCATATGCGAGTTTATAAATTGCGGCGTCTTTAAATCAAAAATTGAAGCTGAGTTGTGTGTGTGGCAGCATTGACCCTGCAGCTGCTGCAGACAGCGACATGTGTAATTGTGGCAGCAATTTAAGCTGCTGCTACTCCTGCTGCTGCTGCTGCTTCATGCAACATCATCGTCAACCGGAAGCAAGTGTGCACAAGTGGCATGCTTGGGATTGGATTGCCGTGGCAGATAGAGACGGGGAGCGATGAAGGGATGAGGCAGTAGACTGAACTGGCAGGTGAATTCAGGGAGCCAGCATTGAAACTTCATGGGCTGCTTGTTTTGTTGCTGCTGCAGTCGCTCTGGTTTATGCCTTTATTAAGCATCAAACAAAATCCAAAACGTCAAGGATATGATGCTCCTCATACCCAGAGTCAGCAGTTGCATCAACAGCATCAACGGCATCAACAGCAGACGCCGTCGCATCCTTCACGTGCTCTGTATACAGATGCAGTCGAGGCAGCTCGGCAATTTATGCACACAACTTGTCACACAGGTCGGTGGCGGCAAGACGAGCCAAGACGGACGGACTGTACTGTATATTGTTTTATGGGTAGGGTGGGGGCGGGGCCTGTTGCAATGAGTAGGACAAGCAATTTACACCGCACAATGCGTTGACACACGTCGTCCGCAAATGTGCGGCTACGGGAAGAGACCAAAGACAATGGCAGAGAACTCGTAGATAACAGTGCTCGGGTTGCTGCTGCTTAGCCCGCCTGGTTGCATCATTAAACCTGAAAAGTGTCAAATGCCCAGTGACAGTCACACACACATGCCCACACACACACACACACACACAGTCAAGTGCCCAAGAGCTTAAATTGAATTGAATGGAGACTGCAGAGCAGAGCTCGACGAGCTGCTGTTAATCTAAGCCAGAAATTTACGAGCTTGTCCTCGGCCTCCGTTTCGGCCTCGGCCCTGGCTTCCGGCAAGTGCAGCTCATAATTCAAACAGTGTTGACAATGAAAATGAAATTCCCATTAAAATGCAATATGTTGCAGCAAACTCTGACTCTTGGCGCCATTGCCCCTTTAGCATATAAGCGGCTTGCTATTAATTTTCCAGCTCCTGCTGGACGCAATGCGCATAAGGCAAATGTTTATATGGCCACAGTATAAACATTGACAATTTAAAAGCCCAGCCCGGTCCACGAACTCCAATGGCTTCGAACTGGCCTGGCTGCCAGTCCTCTTTGTCCTGGCTGTCCTGCCTGCCTTCCATGTCCTGTCCTGCCTTTGGCTGTAGCTTCAATTCGTACTGTTGACTTTGCTGATGATCTGGACTCGAAATTTATTACCGACCCCAACATGCGCTGGGCATCCATATTTCTGCAGCATATTTCATTTTGATTTGATTTCACTTTGAATTTTAATTAAATTGACAAATATGTGGCTAAAGCTATGCTAATTCGAATTAAGAAGGAAAATACGAGTCCTTTCTTGCAAATAAGAGTTTGATTTACGAATTTAGGTGCCAGTCGTTGGCAAAGGGATTTTTTTAAGGGTGCTCAGTAGGGCAGTTTTGCAGTTTTAGTTGCTTCCAAAGGGCAAGGGAGTACATGACATTTTATAGTTAGGGGTATTCATTCACCTTTACAGCTGGGAAAAAGTTTGATTTTTTTATTTTTAATTATGATATAGCTGGATGGTTTGAGTTCCAGGTAACTCAATATTAAACGAATACCAAAAATTATTATTATTATTTATATTGTAAGAGA